AGAAAGAAGAACACCAAAAGAGAAAGAGAGTGAAAGGAATTTCATCCTAGTGGGAATGATTTAATGTGTTATATTCTTTAAGGATAAGGTTGTAGAAATCCAGAAGGCACAGTTGAGTTCTAGCCAAAATATCTCAGGGAAATATTTTAAATTTTAAAATAGTGTAACTGGACATAAAAGGAATGAACTTCTAGAAAAGTGGTGTAGGGTTAAAACTCTTCAACCTTACTGTCATAGCCTTTGCTATATGTTCCTATAGTGCAGTATTTCTCTCATATCCAGTGTCCTTATAAATTGCTTGTTTCATTGTTGATCTTTCTTGGTAGATGGTAAGTTTTGTGAGAATGCATTGTCTATTATGTTCCCCATTGTATTCCCCCTTCCCCCACAGTGTTTAACACAGTGCCTGGCACCTGTAGGGGCTGTGTAAATTTGTTTCTCAGAGGAAGGAAATAGAAACATTCAGTGATTACAGTAGATATTTGCTTAGAAGTCTGATTCAGTCAACTGTAAGGTAGTATGTTCCCCATTGTATTCCCCCTTCCCCCACAGTGTTTAACACAGTGCCTGGCACCTGTAGTTGCTGTGTAAATTTGTTTCTCAGAGGAAGGAAATAGAAACATTCAGTGATTACAGTAGATATTTGCTTAGAAGTCTGATTCAGTCAACTGTAAGGTACTTCCCTGTGTATAAGATTGTCCATTCTCTTGGTGTTGTGTGTATTGTAGTGCATGTAGGCACTTCTTGGGTCCCAAACTGCCCTTTCAATAGGCTAGCAACCCTGTTTTATTTGTGCACCAGGGAGATAAAAATTAATGTTTATTTTAGTGGAAGTTAGACATAATTCAGAATGTTAAGGTTTTCCTTGCATAAAATATACACTGCACAAAATATAAAGATGTCTTGGTATCTACATTAGTTTTCTGTACTTCTGCTGAGCCCTTTTAAACAGACGTTGTAGTGTTGACAGTAGTTGGTTGAGATGTGAGGGATAAAGATAAACTGCCCATTTGGGGGTTGGGGGGAGGACAGGGAAGATGCCAGTTCTTACTGGAAAGACTTTCCTCTGCAAATCAGTCTGCCAGTGCTCTAAGATTCTGGTTTAATTTCAGAGGCCAGGTATCTGCCTGGATAAGGCTCAAGGAAGAGGTCTGGAAAATAGCCAGGGCTTCTAATATTAAGGGCTTTCAAAACCAAGCAAGGCCAACCTCTGAACAATTCACCACTTCATAAAGAGCCAAAATAGAGACTCTGAGGTAGATGTAATGTTAACCAGCTTGCTTAAACCAGCCAGTACTCGTCCTGCTGGGTTCTACCCCAGCCTTGAGCTACAGAGAGTGGTTGGGCATCATAATTAAGAGATGTGGGCCCAAGAACATCTGTTGCTATTGCAAAGTCTTCATGAGCAATTCTCACACAAAAAGAAGCAGTTTTTACAAATGGTGCAGCTGCGTGAGCAGGGAAGAGGAAGGGGTGGAATGGGTGAGGGGCTTCTGTGTGGTGTAAAGATAAAATATTCTTCTGAAAAGGCCCATAATCCTTGCTAACTCCTCCCTGTTGGTAGAATGAGAGAAAAGTTGCAAGATATTTTTCTGGGTTCACCTAAATTGATGAAATAAGTGAGTGTTTGGATTCCTGTTCAGTTAATTAGTATGTCCTTCATATTTTGTTCAGTTCTGGTTTGGAATGAGTAAGCTGCATTTTGTAGCATGTGTAGATTTCCCCACCCCCAACATACCCCTTTCAGCATAGCAGATGGTAAATTCTGTGACTGCCAGTTCTATCATAATGTGTTTGCAGAAAATAGAAAGCAAAGCAACATGAAGACCCCTGATCGAACACAGCTGGGGTTGGGAGACAAGCTTGTGAAACTGCTGATGATAAATATAGAGTTAGTGTGAACCTATATAGCTGCACTATAGGAACTGGATACCTACATATTTGAATAAGACTGATGTTGAGATCTGTTATTGACTAGAGCCTGTCTACCTGGATCTTAAGAAGAGAGAGCATGGACATAAAGTTTTACTTCTGGGCAGCTGGTACAAACCTACCTAAAATTGTCATGCATTGCTAATGAACAGTATGGTAGCTGCATTGGTGGTTTGTGTGTGATGTCAATTGGTGACCGCCTTTTTCAGATCTGACTACATAGAGCATCATTTCTGTTTAATGCTTTTGTCATGCAAAGTCTTAATGAAAACTCTGTCTATTTGATTTAAATGAGAATTGAATAAACCTCTCATTTCTTCAGAGTTTTGAAAGATAGGTGGAGGGATCCAAGTGACCTTAAAAGTCAGGAGCAACACTCTCAAGCACCAACACTTAAATGAAGACAGTTTTTCACAGGGCATCTCACACTTCCAGAAATGCCAAATTAAGAAAGGTGAAATTAATTTGAAAGTGAAACACCAAATATAGTTCATTTGGCAATCATGACTCAGGAGTTTGAGTCTAGTCAGAAATTAGGTTTGTTTTTGTGCCTTTTGACTATAATATGCATCGTTGGAGGGAGGATGCGCTGACTGGCGGTGGTGGTGAGGACCAAAACAAACAGAGGCTAGTTCTAGAAAACAAGAGGAACATTCCTAGAACAGCTGGTCAGCAGTTTCATAGAATTAAGGGTTATACTGTCTAGTATAGTCCTCTTGGACCATACTATGGGGGAAGGGTCTAAGAAAAGCTTATATGAGGGTCCAGAACTCTTGTTTAGAGTTTCGAATACCAAAAAATGATAAATGTAGTTTTCTGTTAAGTTGGAATTAGAAACGACATTAGACAGAATTATTTTTTTTAAATAGATGGTGGATTTCACAAGGAAACCTTAATGAAAGAATATGCCTTCTCCTTTAGAAAATGACCTTTGGTCCAGCCTTACTCATTTTTGGGTGGACTAAGTCAGGATTTAGTTGCCAGCTTTGTTAATTTAGCACTATGTACTTGCTTCATTTATTCTTCTTGCCAGAATGGATTTACCTCTATGAACACAGATAGGTTTTTGAAAGTTTTATTAGTTCTTTAGAGACTTAAGAGGAAAACTGAACTGTTTGCTTCTTACTTTTTTATTTTAAAAATATTTTAAAAGCACAGAAAAGGGCAGAGAATAATATAAGAAATACCCACTGTACAGAATTAGCTGTTATTTCTTTTGAAATTCAAAAATAAAAAAACAATGCTACAGATAAGAATGGGATAAGAAATGTAGATAAGAATGAAGGTAAGAGGTGTCACCTATCCCTAATCCCATTCCGTTCCCTATCTCTTTGGAGATAGCTACTGTCAAATTTTGTATGTATCCTTCCGTTTCATAATTATATTTTTTTATGTATGCCATATGTATCATGAAATATATATAACATATGAAATGTTTTTGTATGTTTAAAGTATCATTTGATATATATTCTGTAACTCCTTTTACTCAACATTATGGTTTTTGAGATTTATGAGGGTACTTCAAAAATTTCATGGAAAAATAGAATTAAAAGATAATACGAATCTTTCCATGAACTTTTTGAAGAACTCTCATATTTTTGTTGGTAAATAATAGCTTTAGTTCATTTTTGCTGCTCCACAGTATATTGTATGATTATACCATGATTTATTGTTTTTATGAATACTAAATATTTTTGTATGGATTGTCTTGTACATATTACTAGAGAACCTCTGGGTATATATACCTTGAAGTAGAATTGCTTAGTCATATGGGATGTGCGTTTTCAGTTTTGGTAGAAGTTTATTTCCAAAGTAATCATACCAATTTACATGTCTACCAGCAGTATTTGAGAAAAAGGTATATATACCTTGAAGTAGAATTGCTTAGTCATATGGGATGTGCGTTTTCAGTTTTGGTAAAAGTTTATTTCCAAAGTAATCATACCAATTTACATGTCTACCAGCAGTATTTGAGAAAATGTCTGGTATGATAGATGAGACTCACTGTTTTAATTTGGATTTTTTAAATTATAACTTTTTAGTCATTGACATTTGAAATTTAAAACATCCAAAGGGATGAAATCCCAATGTATTTATCTGGCATGTCAGGAATAAATATAATTTGAAGTTGTGCTTTATTCATATTTGATTCCTAACATGCCAGATAAGGTATTCCCAGGAAATTAAAGTTTTAATTATTATTCTAATAGCTAAAAATCACTTAAAAAAATTTTTTTAGGTACTTCTGATGAAAATCTCTCTACAATGTGTTATATTTCCCTGTTTTATGAAATTTAGGTTAAATTTACTTCAGTTCTCATAATCAACATTAGGTTTATAAAAAATTTAATAATACCTTCAGAGCCTATTGAAATATGTGATATTTGTTTCTATACCATATACCTTAAAAGGTCCCCATGCTTTAATAGTTAATTTTGCCTATTATGGTCTTGCCTCCTACAGTCTTTTTAGTGAATCTCCTCCTATCTTTTCAAATTAAAAAGTCAGTTTATATAAACGATACATACTTATACATACTTTTATCTTCTCTCCTTTAAATTAGCTACATTCTATTCAGAATTCTGAGGACATAAGGGCCATTTTGCTTGGATGAGAGAGTACGTGGGGTGCGTGGCAGCATTTTGCCTTCACTCAGAGTCTTTCCATTCACTTCAAAGCATGTGCTTCTGGATAGTTGAAACTGTTGGGAATCTGACCTGCAGATGAGTGGGATGGTCACTGCATTAGCCTACATAAAAATAGGCACAAACATTCTGTTAAAGAATGAATACATTTTAACTCAAGGATGTTAACTGAGGAGATAATGAGCAGCAAGGTAAACTCATTTTAGAAGGTCCAAGAAAATTGGCCAGATACAAATGGTACAAAAACCATGTTGGTTGAGCACCACAAATATCATGGACCATTGATGCTTTTTTAAGGTTTTTAATTTTGTTTTGTTTTTGGAAAATTGCTGTTGTTTATAAGTTTGCCCTTGCTTGCCTTTCCATACTTGAAATTTATGATACAAATTTTACATTTCCTTTTTTTTTTTTCCCTCATTTCAGTGTGACAGAATTAGGCAAGAACGAGATGAAGCTGTTAAAAAACTGGAGGAATTTCAGAAAAGTAAGCATTTCAGTGGAATTATTATAACACACATAACTGTTTTGGGATTATATGAGTAGACATATACCTTCTTTAATTGCTGACACATTGGTCATACAATCAAGAAAGCAAGAATTGTTTTCCTCTTTGACCCCCATTAAAGAAATGGAATAAGCATTATTGTTTCACAAAGGTGTTGTTATAAAGGTTTGTACTTGTTATAAAAAAATTTTACTATGTAGAAATGTTAAAGAACAAAAATTATTTGTTACTTGACTCCTTGAGAAAAGCCAGTGTTAGTATTTTATAGTCTATTTTTCCTGTTCTTTTATTTATGTCATATATGTATCTACAAAAATGCGACCATATTTTAAATTCAGTTTTGCAGCTTTCTTTTTTCACTGAACAGTATAGTGTGGTCATCTTTACATGTCAGTAGAGATATACATCAGTTTTAATTGTCAACCATAGTATTCCATTATGTGATAGTGCCATAATTTATTTAAATATTCCTTCACTGATAGATTATTTCAGGTTATTAGCTATTATAAATAATGCCATGGCAAGTATTCTTAGACATACATCTTTACAGTGATCTTATTAGTTCCTTAGGTTAATTCATAGAAAGGGAATTATACTGGAGATCTACTATACACAGCATTGTGCCTATAGCTAACAGTACTGTATTGTATACTTAAAATTTACCAAGAGGGTAGATCTTTTGTTAAGAGTTCTTACCACAATGCATACATACATACATACATACATACATACATACATAAAGAGGGTGGGAAGAAACTTTGGGAGGTGATGGATATGTATGTGGTGTTAATGGTGGTGATGGTTTCACGGATATATACTTATCTCCAAACTCATCAAGTTGTATATATTAAATATGTACAGCTTTTTATGTGTAACTTATACCTCAGTAAAGTAATAAAAAAAAAAGAGAAAAGGAATTGTAGTTTCACTATATACTTATCTCCAAACTCATCAAGTTGTATATATTAAATATGTACAGCTTTTTATGTGTTACTTATACCTCAGTAAAGTAATAAAAAAAAAAAGAGAAAAGGAATTGTAGTTTCATAGAACTTAGACATTTTTAAGAGTTTGAATGTTTGAAATAGCCCTCTCACCAAGGAAAGTAACATTCCCATAAAAGCTATAAAATTCTTCTAAATTTTTGCTATGTTATTTTTTTGTGATATAAAACTGTTATTACTTTATCCCTTAAGATTGATCATAGCTGACCAGACCCAGAAGGATCAGATGGAAATATGTCATGGGCAAAGGGCCAGACCATAGCAGGGAAAGTGACCCCATTCATTGGGAGTAAGGCCTTTGTCTATCATTCTGCAGATGCTATGTCAGTCAGACTATTTGATTATATCCTAAAGTGTTGATTTGGTAACTACACAACAAAACATTTTATTCTTGTTGAAGATAAAATAACCATAAAAGTTGCAGCATTACAGTTAAATTTCAATAGCCAGTTTATTTCAGCATGTGGCTGTAACGAAGAAAATCAGGGAAATCTTATTGATGTTACCTATCTGTTTTAGTCCATTTTGTGTTGCTATAACAGAAATACCTGAGTTTGTGTGATTTATAAAGAAGAGAGGTTTATTTGGCTTATGATTCTGGGACAGTTGCATCTGGCACGGGCCTCAGGCTGTTTCTACTCATGGCAGAAAAGTGGCAGGCAGCCAGCAGGTACAAGCAGATCACATGGCGAGAGAGGAAGCGAGAGAGAGAAGAGGTGCCAGGGTCCTTTAAACAATCAGCTCTCGTGGGAACTAATAGAGCGAGAACTCACTCACTACCCCTCCTCCCCCAGGGAGAGCATTAATCCATTCATGAGGGATCTGCCTCAATGACTCAATCAGTTTCCAACACTGCCACATTGGAGATCAAATTTCCACATGAGTTTTGGAGGGGACAACACATCCAAACTCCATCAATGGGGAATAAGCCACATGGTAGTGGGGGCTGAGGGCAATCATAAGGCAGGATGAGACGGGTGGAAGGTGTCAGAGCTAGAGGGAGATGATGCTGTTTTACAAGGGGTCTTCAAAAAGTGCCTGGAAAGATTCATATTACCTTTTAATTCTATTTTTCTATGCATGCACTTTTTGAAGAACCCTCATATTTAGGGTGATCAAAAGAGGCCTTGCTGATAAAGTGACATTTGAGCTGAGACCAGAAGGAGGTGAGGGAAGCAGCCCCACAGATATCCAGGGGAAGGGCTTAATAGGCACGAGGAACAGCAAGTGCAAAGGCCCTGAGCATACATACATACATACATACATACATACATAAAGAGGGTGGGAAGAAACTTTGGGAGGTGATGGATATGTATGTGGTGTTAATGGTGGTGATGGTTTCACGGATATATACTTATCTCCAAACTCATCAAGTTGTATATATTAAATATGTACAGCTTTTTATGTGTTACTTATACCTCAGTAAAGTAATAAAAAAAAAAAGAGAAAAGGAATTGTAGTTTCATAGAACTTAGACATTTTTAAGAGTTTGAATGTTTGAAATAGCCCTCTCACCAAGGAAAGTAACATTCCCATAAAAGCTATAAAATTCTTCTAAATTTTTGCTATGTTATTTTTTTGTGATATAAAACTGTTATTACTTTATCCCTTAAGATTGATCATAGCTGACCAGACCCAGAAGGATCAGATGGAAATATGTCATGGGCAAAGGGCCAGACCATAGCAGGGAAAGTGACCCCATTCATTGGGAGTAAGGCCTTTGTCTATCATTCTGCAGATGCTATGTCAGTCAGACTATTTGATTATATCCTAAAGTGTTGATTTGGTAACTACACAACAAAACATTTTATTCTTGTTGAAGATAAAATAACCATAAAAGTTGCAGCATTACAGTTAAATTTCAATAGCCAGTTTATTTCAGCATGTGGCTGTAACGAAGAAAATCAGGGAAATCTTATTGATGTTACCTATCTGTTTTAGTCCATTTTGTGTTGCTATAACAGAAATACCTGAGTTTGTGTGATTTATAAAGAAGAGAGGTTTATTTGGCTTATGATTCTGGGACAGTTGCATCTGGCACGGGCCTCAGGCTGTTTCTACTCATGGCAGAAAAGTGGCAGGCAGCCAGCAGGTACAAGCAGATCACATGGCGAGAGAGGAAGCGAGAGAGAGAAGAGGTGCCAGGGTCCTTTAAACAATCAGCTCTCGTGGGAACTAATAGAGCGAGAACTCACTCACTACCCCTCCTCCCCCAGGGAGAGCATTAATCCATTCATGAGGGATCTGCCTCAATGACTCAATCAGTTTCCAACACTGCCACATTGGAGATCAAATTTCCACATGAGTTTTGGAGGGGACAACACATCCAAACTCCATCACTATCTTTGGAGGCCAATATGCTATGAAAGAAATACCTCTTATTTGTGAACGTATGAATTGCAATTGTGTGGGATTTTCTCCTTCCCTCATGGATTAATGGAATGTGCTTACAGTAGTGCTGACACTGACTCACATCTGAAAGAGTTATACCATTGGCATTGTTACCAATTAATGTGCTTGAATTATTGATAGTGGGTTGGCGTACTGTGTATAGTGGGAATAGTTCAATTTTCTTATGGTTGAACTCATCATAAAAAGTTTTGGTCAAGATAGGTTAGTAGGGATTTTTGCTTCCTGCAGTACGCAAAAATAGAACCAACTTTCCCTAAAATCAACCTCAGAATAACAAGTAAACTCTGCTTTCATCTACCATTATTTCTCTTTTTCCTTTCTTTGTCTCTTTCTCTAAATACCTTTGATATTTTAAAAAATTTACCTTTTTCCTTATGAGCACTCAAATTAATGCCTGAAAGTCTTTTTTTTTTTCTTTTTGTCTTTTTTTCGTGACCGGCAATGGATCGCAACCCTCAGTGTCGCGCCCGTACCAGACCGGGACCGGCCACGGGATCGCAACCCTCGGCGTTGCTCCCGCCCCTCGCTCAGCCAGTGAGCGGCCGGGAACCCTTGGCGGGAGCGCCACCACACTTCCCAAGCGGCGCACTACAGCAGTGCGCCACCAGGCCGGCCCAATGCCTGAAAGTCTTAATTGAAAGGCTAGTACAGCAATCTTTATCATTGTATTCATTTAATTTTTACTCTTACTAAGTCTGCTTAATTAATCTAAAGTTTGATGACAGGAAAGTAGAGTGCCCTTTACTCAGTCTCAAAAGAAGAGAAAATGGGGACTATGAAAACTAAATATTAGTCAAAAAACTGTATCTGAGATAAATGGTTCACGACATTTATTTATTTATTTATTTATTTATTTATTTAT